AGTGCTATACTAAAAACAGATTATTAGTATTACAGTAGCTTGACATCTATAATCATGAAATATTTTATAATTATTGCTTTCTCCATTGAGAACCAAACAGAGGATTAACAAGGAGTCAAAAAGAGAACTGAATTTCTGTACAAGCAAAATATTCAATCATGATGAAACTCAGCTTACCTAAATAATAATGTTTATTTCCCAGGGCTATTCTGAGGACAAAGTAAATATAAATAATATGAATGTATACTAAAATATATAAAACACTATAAACATATGCATTATAAAAGTGGTTCTGTTAAGTCTTGAGAGGAAACTTACAATTCTTATGTAATATATGCAGAGTGATACACCATCCAGCACACCAATAGTATCAATTAAAAATTAAACACTATCAATATCTAGTATGGATATTGGGCATTAGTTCAAGGGTAGATGAGAATCTGGACTTGGCCCTGCTTCTTTCATGACTATAGGGAAGTAAACTAATAACTGTACTTATTAAAGAAAGAAGGCTTCATAAAAATAAAATTGGTGTCTCAATGCAATTCTATAATATACACAAAGCAGGATATGAAAAACAAAATAAACTAGTTATCAAGAACAGATGACATCAAATCCCAAAGCATCAATTAATAATTACTACCAACAAATGAATAGTACTAAAGTAGGCCAAGGTCCTAAAGCACTTTTAAGTTAAGTCAAGTGAGACATAAAACAATAGAAGCATTGAATATTAATTTTCCTCTGGCTTTAATAACCCTGATTGAGCTTATAAAGAACACCCCTCAAGGTGACCTTATAGTTCATACACACAGGCAACATTGGTGGTGAGAACTATTTCTAATAAATTATAACCTCCATGGCCTGTTTTCCAGGTTTTTATTAAGCTGTATATTTCCTCACATAAAAGAACATTACATTATAATAAGCATTGCATAAACACAACAAAAAAACAGTGGTCAGTATTGAAGAAGAGAAAAACGACAGTTCTAAGCCAATAAAGTTTCCTTGGAAAATTATAGTAAGAAGTGTTGCATCTTCACTTTTATTGGATTTGGAGACAACAGCTGCTTTGAAGAAAAACACAACCTTCTGACAAGTCTGTTTAATTAACCCTCACTTTTCAAACATTCAAATACCTTAAGCTTATTATTAAAGGCTTACCATTTCCTGATTCATTTAAGCAGAAACTATTCTCTGTGTAGGTTACCAAGGAATTATTTAATACTGAAAACTGACTCATCTTAATACAAAAAAAAAAAAAAAAAACTGCATCAAGATTGTAGGCCACTAAATTCCAGCACAGCACTGCATAAAGCATCATTAGGTCATAAACAGAAGTAGAAAATTCCAACAGTGGGTCAGACTTCTTATGGGTCATAACTTCTTCAGTTATGTCTACAGGAGGAACATCTATTTTAATAAGAAACCAAAATGTTAGAACAGAGAGAATGAGCTTATGTTTTACAGCTACATTCACTCAGTTTCAACAACTTTGAGTCTTAGTTTTAAACAGGGAGAAACACAATGTTTCTCTTCCTATTTTATTTGCAAAAATACCTTTATCAGATAAAACTTCAACAGTGAATACTTCTGCAATAAGAATTTTGAAGTACTTGATATAAAGAATAAATTATTTGTCAATGTTTATACAAATAAGAGTTATAAGTGATACATTTACAATGAGGAACTATTTAAAATATCTAACTTTACAGATGGAGGAGGAAGTATATATTAACTTAAAGATTCACTGCTTTTTAAAACACTATTTTCTCTTAAAAAAGAGGATACTATATTTAAAATAATAAAAGGTTCAATACAGTGGAAAGATACAATTATGAATGTTAAACCCCTATTGACAGACCATCAAAATATATGAAGAAAAAAAATGACAAAATCGAAAGGTGAAATAGACAATTATATAATAATAGTTGGAAATTTCAATATCCCACTCATAACAATGGACAGGAGCAACCAGACAGAAGGTAAGTAAGGAAATAGAAGATTTAACACAATAAACCAACTACATCTCACAGACAAATACCAAATGCTGTAACCAACAATAACAGAATATACATACATATTCTTCTCAAGTGTATATTGGACATTTTCCAGAACAGACCATACTTTGGGCCACAAATGAAGTTAAAAACCAACAACAAAAGTAAAACTGGAAAATCCACAAATTTGTGGAAATTAAACAACACACACTTCAACAACCAATGGATCAAAGAAAAAAATCACATGGAAAATTAGAATACCCTTAGAGATAAATGAAAATGAAAGCATAACATATCCAAACTCATGGAATGCAAGGAAATTTTATAGCTATAAATGCTTACATTTAAAAACAGAAAAGATCTCAAATTAACAACTTAACTTTTTAACTTAACTAAAAAAAAAAGGAACTAAAACTAAATCTAGCAGAAGGAAGGAAATAATACAGGTTAGAGCAGAGATAAATGTAGAGAAAAAAAAGAAAAATCAATGAACCCAAAAACTAGTTCTTTAAAAAGATCAACAAAACCGATAAGCATATAGCTAGATGAACAAAGAAAAAGAGAGCAAAGACTCAAATTACTAAAATCAGAAATGGAAGTGGGGACACTGTGGTTAGTTGTCAGTCATGTCCAAATCTTTGGGACCGCATGGACTGTAGCCTACAAGTCTCCTCTGTCCATGGGATTTTCCAGGCAAGAATACTGGAGTGGGTTGCCATTTCCTTCTCCAGGGGACCTTCTTGACCCAGGAATTGAACCGGCATCTCCTGTGTCTCCTGCATTGAAGGTAGATTCTTTATTTGCTGTGCCACGGCGTGGGAGGTAGAAGTACGGACATTAGTACCAATTCTACAGAAATAAAAGGGATTATAAAAAAGTACTGTGAATAAATTAGAAAACATACCTGAAATGGACAAATTCCTAGAAACATAAAACCTACCAAGACTGAAACACAAAGAAATAGAAAATATGAGTAGACCTACAGTAAAGAAATTGAATCAGTAATTTAAAATTTCTCCCCAAAGAAAAGCCTTATGCCTGATGGCTTCACCAGTGAAATCAACCAAACATTTAAATAAGAACTAATACTAGTCCTTTTCAAACTTTTCCCAAAAATCAAAGTAGAGGAAATACTTCCTAACTTCATCTATGAAGCCGGCAGTACCATAATACCAAAGCCAGACAAAAACACTACAAAAAAGAAAATGACAAACCAATCTCTCTTAAAAGAACAGTGAAACAAAAATCCTCCACAAAATAGCAAACCAAATTCATATTAATCAGATGACACATCTTGACTAAGTTAGATTTACTCCTAGAACACAAGGACCATTCAACATATGACAAGTGATTGATGTGGATTCTTTACCTGGTGGGAGGCTCATTAATAGAATGAAGGGGAAAAAAAAATGATCTTAATCAATGTAGAAAAAGGAGTTGACAAAATTCAACATTCTTTTTTGATAAAAACACTCAACAAACTAAAAACAGAAGGAAATTAATCTCAACACAACAAAAGCAATATACAAAAAAACACTCACAGGGAACAACACACTAAATGGTGAAATACTGAAAGTTTTTCCTCTAAGATCAGGAATAAATGAAGGATGTCAGCCTTTGCCACTTCTATTCAACACAGTATTAGAAGTTCTACTTAGAGTAATTTAGGCAAGAGAAAGAAATAAAAGGCAACACATAAAAAAAAATCAATTGCATTTCTATAAACTAACAATGGACAGTTTGAAAAGAAAAAAAAAACAATTCCATTTATGGTAATATCAAAAGGAATAAAATAAGAATTAACCAAAGAGATGAAACACCTGTACACTGAAAACTACAAAAAAAAAAATCACTGAATGAAAATAAACAATAGCTCAATAAATGGAAACACATCCCATCTTAATGGGCTGGAAAAGTTAGTTGTGTTAAGATGTCCATTCTACCCAAAGCAATCTATAGATGATTCAGTGCCATCTCTATCAATATCTCAAATAATATTTTTGCAGAAATAGAAAAAGTCATCCTAAAATTCATATGAGTTCTCAAAGGACTCTGTAGAGCCAAAACAATCTTGAATAAAGAAGAACAAAGCTAGAGAACTTATACATCGTGGTTTTAAAATTTATGACAATGCTAGTATGGCACTAGCATTAAAAAAACACAAAAAGACCAATGAAACATTATAAACCTTTGTATACATGGTTAAACAATTTTTGACAAGGGTGCCAAGACTATTCAATGGGGAAGCAACAGTCTTTTCAACAAATGATGCTGGTAAAACTGGATATCCACTACGCAAAAGAATGACATTCAACCCTTACCTAACACTGTACACAAAAATTAACTCAAAATGGACCAAAGATCTAAATGTAAAACCTAAAATTATAAAACTCGTAGAAGAAAAGATAGGGCAGAGGCTTCACAGCATTGGATCTTGCAGTGATTTCTTGATATAACAACAAAGGCACAGGCAACCAAAGGAAAAATAAACAAATTGGACTTTGTGAAAATTTTTAAATTTTGTGCATCAAAACACTACCCACAGAGTTAAAACACAACCCTCTGAGTGGGAGAAAGTATCTCCATATATGCATATCATGTACTTGATAAAGGATTAATCTCTAGAATATATAGAGAACACTCAAAACTCAACAACAACGAAACCAAACAACTCAGTTCAAAAATGGGCTAAGAACTTGAATACATTTTTCCAAAGGTATATAAATGGCCAAAACACACATGAGAAATTAAACACCACTGTTTATTTAGGAAATGAAAATCAATCAAAACTACAATGAGACACCACCTCACATTCATTAGGATGGTTGCTATTGAAAAAACAAATAGGAAGTAACAAGTGTTGGTGAGGATGTGGAGCAAATGAAATGCTTGGCACTATTGGTGGGAACTTAAAATGATATGAGCTGCTGTGGAAAACAGTATGGTCCCACAAAAATTAAAATAGAATATTATCCAGCAATTCCTCTTCTGGGTACTTACCCCAAAAAGTTGAAAGCAAGGTCTTGAGAAGATATTTGTATACTCACTCACAGCAACATTACTAATAAAAGAAAAAATGAGAAGGCAATCTAAGTGTCCACTGACAGGTGAATGCATAAATAAAACAAGGTATATACATACAATGGAATATCATTCATTCTTTAAAAGGAAGGGTATTCTGCAACATGTTACAACATGGGTAAATCTTGAAGAGATTCCTCAAAGTAAAATAAGCCAGTCACAAAAAGACAAATACTGTATGATTCCAGTTATACAGAACTGGAAAGCAATGGAGAGATGGTTGCCAGAGGCTGGGTGAGGGAAGGTGAATGGGGAATTATTATTTACTGGGTAAAGAGTCTCAGCTTTACAAAATGGAAGGAGTTACAGAGATGGGTGATAGTGACAGTTCATCAATATTATGAACGTACTTAATACTAATTGTATACCTAACATGGTTAAGATGGTATATTTTATGCTAAATGTATTTTAGCACAATAAAAAAATGGAAAAAATCAAAAGGAGGGTGAGGGTGGGGGAGAGGGAAGTGTAAATGACTCACTGGGAAACAAGGAAAATATAAATGTCATTGGAAGAAGAAAATATAAAAAGAAGAAGGAAGGAAGAGAGGGAAAGAGAGGAAGAGAGCGAAGAATGAACCTACATACACACACTGAACTTTGGCCTAAAGTACCAGGTACTGCTCACTCAGGTACTGCCGTAGAGAGAATGCACCAGGAGACCAACCATTGTCATATTCTGAAACCAAAGATAAAAATTCCAGCCTAGTATAAAATGGACAAAATTGGACTTAATCAGAAGTAATCAGCTGTAAAAAATGCAGATTTGAAAGGTCTAGACTATGTTCCACTGTCATTCGCAGTTAGGATATCAAATTGAATTTGGAAGAGTTCAGCATGACTTGTGTCTCTTAAAATTCTCAGGATACACACAGAATGTGGATGCTCCTTGGAGTAGCTGACCTGATGGATGTTATGGAGAAGTACTTCAGCCATTCATAGGAAAAAAGCACATATTTCACAGAAGCACTTAAAATCAACGTTTTCCACTGCTTCAAGTGGTAAGTGAAGTAAAAATTCTCATTTCAAACTCACTCTAAGCTGCAATAAAAAATGTATGCTCTTATAAACTTCTGTTAGCCACACAGCAAAGGAATGTGTTAGTAACATCTGTGAATGCCATGTCCCCAAAGCATTTGTCACTTCAGCTAACATAACAGCTCATTCTCCCTGGAGGAAATCAATCACTCTGTCAATAGTCCCGGTCAAGCAAGTGAAAATATTTCTCACAGGGGATTCTTTTAGTGCAATGTCTCAGTAACTCTTTAAAATCTGTAGGCACATGAAATCTGAGGATTGGATGAAAAAAAAGAATAAATATATTGCATTTTTACCTCAAAAGTCTCAGTGGTACTGCTTCACATTTTCCTATATTTCAGCTCCTATAGGAAAAAATTTTCCTATATTTCAGCTCCTACAGGAAATTATTACATGACATTACTGTCATTTCCTATAACCAAGGTATTTGTTTACCTGGATGGACTGACTGCAGAGAGATTTCAGATTTTACAAGCTCAGCTATACCAATCTTTTCATAATATTGACTGTGAGTTGGGCTGGGGAGGATGGCTTGAGGAAAAAGAAAACTGGTTGCAAAGAAGGAATTCTGCTATAAATAGGTAGAATTTTCTATTTTCCTGGCAGCCACAGGGATATAACAATGTAAAAAATCTATGAGCTGGAAAGGATTTCTCCTATGATCTAAGAAAGTAAACTAGGTAATATACCATGTCAATCACTCTCCAGTTTGCCACCAGCCACTGGCAGCATCATAGACTTAGTAACAGAGGTTTTTAAATGGTAATAGATTTTAAAAATGGGCAGTGAGAACTGCAGCTATGCTGCATGCTACATTTTTTAAAAATTGTGGCAAAGAAAATGAAATTGATCTTGCTATTTAACGATTAGGTTTTTTTCCCTCTGTGTGATTTCAATTCAAGATTAACATGAGTACCTTTCATTTGTATCATATCCCAAATTCTCTACTGAGTAGAAAACAAGAACTGAATAATATGGGAACGACGTTTCTTTTTTCTCAGTAAGAAATTAATGCCAGTCTTTTTCAATCTTAGATTATTCAACATTCATTTCATAGCAACTAGTTATCACACCTACTATATTCCAGGTACTTCAATCATCCAAAGAACATAAGCACTATAGTTTACAATTTTAAGGTACTATTAAATACATGGTCTCCAAGGAGGCAGTTATTTTATTGTTTTAGGTTTTCAATTTAAAGTTTTTAGGGAAACTCAGCCATTTTAAAATAGTTTAACAACTGTACTTCTGTCAGAGATTCTAGCTATCTAGAAATTATCTAGCTAATTTTAAACTAGACAAATATGGAACAAAGATGTATTGTTGGTTTACTTGTGATTACATATTGAATTAGCAACATAAGAGAGAACGAACATTTTCAGCAATTTGGGGGGAATAAAAAATCACAGTATTTCAGTATTTCTATTTCTGTATTTCCATTTCTTCTCTCCATTAATTTATTCCATCACTACAGATTTCTATTTTATTCAATAGGCTATAATTTGATAAGGATTATTATTCTGATGTTCATTGTATTCTAAGATCAGCCAGCAAGTGCCTCTTGAAGGTGACTTCTGCATCCTTTAGTTACAACCCCTCACTCTGTGAGCAATTCCTTACTTTCTGGCACAGGATGATGTGTCTAGCATATCTTGTTATGTTCTTTCTCTACAGTAGCCCTAGAATCAGCCATTTCTTCAAGAAGCCCTAGCACACCTACCTTTCCAGGTCCTGTCTCATGACTCCCAGACTGAATTATTCAGAAAGGAAAGAAGGATAGCAATAAGAAAGCCAAAGGGCTACTTTGTTTAGAATGGGTGACTTGCACTGATTCCCTCTGTAGCTGGATAGGTCTGTTTCCCCAGTAGCCTCGTCTGCCTTGAATAGCAAGGCTGACTACACGCTCCGTTTAAGAAATAGAGGAGTCCTGTTAATAGGCAAGCTTCCCCCAGCACATAATTACAACAGCAAGGAGACACTTGCTCTGGGAGTAGAACATTCTGGGTTCATTGTATTCCCTGGAAAGTTGTCTCTTCCTTTTTCTTTCTTTTTAAATACATTGTTTATTTTAGGACAGTTTTAGATGTAGAGAGAAGTCCTGAAGACAGTGGAGTTCTCATGTGTCCTCCACGCAGTTTCCTTTATTAATATCCTATATTACTAAGGGACACTTGTCAAAATTAGCAAACCAATATGAATATTATTAACTAACGTCTGTACTTTATTCGGATATTCTCAGTTTTCCTGCTATCCCTTTTCTGTTCCAGGATCCCATCCAAGATATAATATTACATTTAAGTAGTTATATCTCCCGAGGCTATTCTTGGTTGTGACAACTTCTCAAACTTTTCTTGTCTTTGATGACTGTATTAGTTTTCTGTGACTGCTATAACAAATTAATACAAACTTAACATCTTAAAAAAAGAGAAATTTGTTCTCTTATAGTTTTACAGGCCATAAGCCCTAAATGGCAACCCACTCCAGTATTCTTGCCTGGAAAATCCCATGGGCAGAAAAGCCTGGTGTGGTAGAGTCCATGGGCTTGTAAAAGAGTCGGATACAACTGAGCAACTAAACAAATCCTGAAATCAAGGTCTCAGCAGGGCCAAACTCTCTGAAGGCCTTCAGGAAAAATCATTCCATGCCTCCTCTTCTACCTTCTGGTGGCTTAAAGCCATCCCTCAGTTTGTGGTTGACTCACTTAAATTCTCTGCCTCTTTATTCTCTGGTCTATGTGTGTCTTTTCCTCTGTGCCTTATTAGGACATGTCATTTGATTTATAATTCACCCAGATAATCTGGGATGATCTCATCTTAAATTCCTTACTTAAATACATCTGCAAATACTCTTTTACCAAATAAAATGACATTCACAGGTTCTGGAGCTTAGGACATGGATACATCTTTTGAGGAGCATCACCATTCAACCTCCTACCATGAACTCTACAGTTCTGAGGATTACTTGTCAGATATTCTGTGTGACTTGATTTCTCATGGTTAGGCTGGGATAAAGTATTTGAGAGAGGAAAACCAAAGTGTCACTTGTATGATACCCTATCAGGGGTACATACTATCAACATGACTTATCACTGTTGATGTTAACCATGATCACCCGGCATTACACTTTGTCCGGTTTGGGCACTACAATGTCACCCTTTCTGTGCCATGCTCTTTGGAGAAAAGTCACCACGAGCAGCTCAACTTAAGCAGTGAGGAGTTACATCCCACTTCACGGAGGGTGGGAAGGCTAAACAAATTATTTAGAATTCTTCTATGGGGGACTGTCTAGTTTCCTTCAAGGTCAACATTAACCATTTGCTTATATTTCTATGGAGGCATTACTTTACACTTGGGGTTTTAACCTAATACTACTTTATTTTGTTGCTCAAACTGTTATAGCTTTGGTCATTGGAAGATCTTTCAATTGGCTCTTTTGTCCCTTTGGTATACTCCTGCTATTATGTTTTTGCTTTGTTTTTTGTTTTTTTGTTTTTTTTTTTTGCCACTGCAACATGCTCTAGACTCATCCTGTGTATTTCCTACCCCAATGGGAGAATCAACCATGTCTCCAAAAAGCCCTGATTCCTCTTAATGGAGAATGGTATTAGAAACCAAAATTTGCACACTAGGTGTAGTCATTGATATTGGGGTTTCATTGCTTCTAGGCCCTCTCAGCTGACAGAGCAATTAGATATAGATCTGCATCTATCTATATATGTATACATATACAAATACCTACAGGTATACCTCAGAGACATTTTAGGTTCAGTGCCAGATCACTACAAGAAAGCAAATATTGCAACAAAGTCACAAATTTTTTTGTTTTCTAGTGCACTTAAAAGTTATGCTTATACTACCCTGCAGTCTATTAAGTGTACAAAAGTATCTTATTTAAAAAATAATGTACATACCTTAATTTTAAAAAATACTTTTACTGCTAAAAA